TCAATGAAATATGGGGAAATTGTGCATTGTTAATCAATCAATCTCAGAGCGGGACAAAAAGGCTTGTTTTTGAAATAAAGAAATAAAGAAATTGAAAAGTTTTTCCTTTTAATACCTCGAGTTTATGATGGTAAAATTTGTCGTTAAAAAAAATTTCTTATTTTTAATATTATTATTTTCCGAATGGACAAATACATATTCTTTGTTGAAATTTTGGAAAATAAAGTAAAAGTCAAATTATTCTTTCAGCTTCCTCTTTTTCAATATTTTTTTACAAAAGCTTATTTTTCAAATTCCCGAGTAGATACGAGTAATTGTGGAGAAATTTCCACCCACAAATCTTGTTTCTTAAATTACATGGAAAGGAATTCAGTTTAAAATTCTTCAAAAAACCATCAACCAACCAATGTTAAACCCTTTTTCCGCTAATGAAAAGCCTTTTTTTTTGTTTTTTTTGGATTTTTTGGGTTTTTGAGAGGGTCTGGAGGCCTCCGCAGTATTAAATATTAAATTACTTTTAAACTATTAAACTATTAATTACTTGTTGCTGCCCACTAGTAGTAGTAGCTGCCCACTTTCTCCCGCTTACAACTTTCTTTTAAATCGGTATCAATGGTAATTTTATTATAATAATTTAACAGAGGAAACATCCAAGGTAATCGTAAGTTCAAAGAGCGTTATTTCACCAAATAGAATACACAAACCATAGTCAATACTAAGGTTAAGTAAAAAAAAAAAAAAAAAAAACTTTTTATTTTGATTATTTTTATCTATTTTTTCTTTTGCATTTTCTTTGATATCTGTGTTTAAGTAAGGTTTATTTGTTTGTTTTTTGTTTGTCTGTTGTTTGTCAATATTTCTAAGACCTAGGAGACCCAAGTACGCAAAGCTACCAATAGCTCTGAACCCAGCTAGTGCAGCAACACAAATCAAGATGACTTCCAAATACTTGTTTGTATTTATGGCATCAGCATCATAAACTTGAGTGATTGTCATGATTAAGATTAAATTTGCAACTAACCAGACCAAGACGACTCTAGTTCTAACATCTCTATAATAATCTTCATGACTTGGTCCATTTGAATCACTGTTGGTTCTTAATTCTAGAGGTGTTTGTCTTCTGGATCTTAAATTGAACAAGACTTCATCATAAACATTGTCAATATCCATTTGGTCTCCAATAATTTCCACTTCAACAATCTCTTTCCCGGATTTATCCTTTTTAACGACAGCATTACCCAAGTTAGTCTCTGGAGCATTATCACCTTTAGTACCCCAAGAAACATCATGAGTATTACAGAAAGCATAAATTTGTAATAAACAAGTATATGCGGGTAACAATAAGAAATATTGCAAAGATGAAGTAAAAATATGGAAAAAATCCATATAAGCTAAAGACATAAAGGCATATAACCCATAAGTTGATAACAAAGAAACAATAATCACAGAAAATGAGTTTGAAGTATCACTTGAAGGATCAATTGTTTCAGTTTTTATTGCTGATATAGTGAAATATATTCCTGCAACATATGCATAGAGACCACAGAAGACTAAGATAAGCAATGAAGTTAAGTATAATTTCTTAGCACCTTGTGGCCTATTACCCATAGATATCATAAACATACCAACTAAATCTGAAACACATAAATAATTCAAGATTTGAAATATCCAATAACCACCATTATTAGGAATAACATTGATTAAGGCACCAGCCAAATAGTAAAAAGTCAAATAAAAGTTTCCTAACGAAAAGAAACTGAATAATAATTGGACAAATTGATAAATAAATTCAATATGTAAAAAAAACTTTCTTATAAATGAGTGATCTGTGGCCCAAATTTGCCTGAAATGGACTTGTGAATATAATGCAGCAAAGAAGGCACCATTTAACCATCTTCTTCTTTGTGAGATGAATTCTGATAATTTTTCAGGAACATCAGTGGAACCTGTGGCAGATCTAACATATTTCAAGACCCATTTGGCATTTCTCTTTGCAACTAGTTCCCAACACAAAATTCTATCTTCTGCAAGGTACATGTTTGCAGTAAAAATATCATGATTCTCAGCAGTATCTAAGTTTTCACCTTTGAAATATGAGTTTAAAGGACCTGTACCGTCTTCATGATTTTCTAAAGCAGTATATCTATAAGCTGATAATGCACCTGGTAAGACAGAGATATATCCGAATACAGATTCTAAAGGCTTGTCCAAAATATTGGACATTTTGTATTCAAAATTTTGTGAGGCAACCAAAGGATTCATTAAATTCTTCCAATATTTACCATTAATGGTTTTAATTTCACCCGCAGTACCTGCAACGTTTGAATCTTGGTCAAATGCTTTCCACAAGTTATAAATAGCATGACTATCAGGTTGAGTACCCACATCTAATAAAACACAGACATTTGGTTGTAAAACAGGGCAGAATGCGTTGAATAACCATCTATGAGAATTGATTTTTTTAGCGTTTTTCTCTTTCAAACAAAAACATATTTGAACTGGAACAATTCCCTTTTCACTTCCCATAAATTTCAAATCTTCATCAATGGAAATTTGTGTTGTATACTCAAATAAATGTGCGTTAACTTCTTTATTATTAACAAATGACTTAGCAATCCCACTTTGGTAAACACCCATAGCACTTAAAACTTCCAAGACACTTTCGCTACATTTGCCTCTACCATCACTAACAATAACAACAACAATTTTTTCCCAACTATCATCTCCCCAAATTGGTGATTTCTTTCTCTTAGTCAAATAAACTATATTTTTCATAATTGCGTGCATTGTTCTAGTAAATGCTTCAGCATCTTCGTTATACATGGTCACACAAATAACAATTTCGGTTTCTCTTTTCAAATCTGCAGCTCTTAATGAAAAACCTGAAGCGGAAAAGTCATCTGCATCGGATGTTACCGCAGAGTATCTCATATAATTGAACTCTCTTTCATCTTTCAATGGTAAGAAATTCAATAGTTTAGAAGGAACAGCATTATCAAGAATCAAGTTACCATTCTGTAAATAAAATTGTTTTTGAGTTGCTGTATGATTATTTCTCCGAGGTTGATAATCCAGTGGTAATTCTGCAAACATGTTCCCATCTAAACTTTGTTTAAAGGACTCAGAGTCTTCATAATCCGAGTAACTTAATGAATTGGATAATTTGTCACCACCCAAGCTTTCACTACTATAGACAGTGGTATTATCATCATCATCAGTATCGTTTATTCTAAACTGATTGGCATTGAAACTTATACTGCTTTTTTCACTATAGTGAGAATTTGTACGTGCTTCAGAGTTTATATCTGGGTGATTACTAAAGTTTCCAGAAGCATTAGCTGCAGCAAAAGTTTGAGCTGAAAAAATTGGTTTTGGAGGTGCTAACACCCTATCTGATGATTTGGTTGATCTGCTATTTGCACTCGTGTTTCTGACAAATCTGGAAGGACTCTTACCGTTATAATGACTTGTAATATCTGAGGTATCAATAACGTCATCATCCATATTGATGAAAGTTGGCTTATTTTTTTTAGGAGACTCATGAATATTGGTGTATCTATACCTTTCCGAAACGCTGGTGCCGTCGTCACTATCTTTCCTGGCTCTACCTATAAAACTGTTTCCAACTGAGGATCCATAAATGTCATCATTATTTCTGCCTTCTCTCGATCTACTGAAAACCGCAGGAGAATATTTAGCTGTTTTCTTATTTGGACTATATTGGTTTTGGGTAGGGAACCCATGGACTTGGTCAGCTAGTTATCAAAATTTTCGAAAATTTATTAGTAATTTCATCTTTTTTTTTTTTTTTTTTTTTCAGTTGAAAATTTTATTCAGTAAAACTTTAACTTACAATTGCTTTCATTGTACAATTCGTTGGCATAACGTCTTGGGGAAGTACTATTGGAATATATACTACTTGGCCTTGAAATACCAGATGCTTCAAACTCATTACGGAATGGGTTATGCTTTTCACCATTAGAGTTTTGATCTTTGAATGGATCAGACATGGCTCAAAGTTTTCCTATGAAATATAATCGGATTCCAGTCGTTATTTCAAATAACAGCAAGCAAAAACAAAAAAAAAAAAAAAAAAAAAAAAAAGAAACTTTTTAAAATAAAAATAAAAATAAAGACATGACAAGACAAGACAAGTCAAAATTAAATCAAATACCTTCACTCAATTTTACTTTGGAAAAATTGTAAATAAAAGCATATACCTTATGCATGGTTAGAGATGTTTTCTATGATTATATAACCTCATTAGGCAATGTGTAAACACAGGCAATAGCCAGGACCGCAGCCCCAATTTTGACCATTATTTTAAAGGTGTTAACTGAAGCAGCCCGAGTAGTCCTAAAAGGGAATATTTTCTTGATGATAATTTTTTTTTCCTTTCGAAAAATCTGATATAAATGCGAATTTTTTCGCTGTTTTTCATAGTTTAATTTTTTTTTTTTTTTCCTTTCTTCACCGTCCTTATGCTCGGGCATTACGTGTATCAGTGAGGATTCGTCCGAGATCATGTTTTTGCTGGTTGAAAACTTTTTAACCATTGACTGCTCTTTATAGACTAAACAGCATTGTCTGTTTCTGGTCTATAAAGGAATTTTTGGAATTATTTTATTCATTTTAGTTTTTTTATTTAAAAAAACTTGAAAGAAAATTTGCTAATTTGCTTGCTATCTTTTTGAGTCGTATTCATGAGTTCATGAATAAGTTTTAAAACTATAGTGAGTGCGTTGTGTCTTTACATAAACTATAAATCTAAGAATGAAAAACTCGTCCTCTGTGGCAACCTACTATCTTTTTATAGAACAAGTTCTTATACATTTACATCAGCAATTACATTAGCCATTACGTTAGCCTATTTTAACGCTAGGCTAATGGATTTTGATTGATTGAAAAGGGAAAAACGGTTCTTTCATTTTTTTTAATTTAAAGGTTTGAAATACATACATAATAAATAAATAAAATAAAAAAAAAAAAAAAATTAAAAACTTCCCCACCAGGAGTCGAACCTGGAATCTTCTGGTTCCAGAAGTGACTAACGCAAATCGTAGCCAGACGCCGTGACCATTGGGCCATGAGGAACGAAGCTTTACTATAAACTGTAATAAATGCATATTTACGTACCATCGGTTTCATCGTCTTTATGAAAGTAACGAGTTTCCATTACTTTTGATGATGATACCCTATTACTACTACTATTACTACTACTAGTACGACATGCACTCTTATGTATTATTTTGATGCAATATATTAATAATTAAATAAAAGGGCTATATAAATTAAGTACAACAGCTAGAGCATTACCACTTGCTTAAAATTTCAAATGATCTCTCTTGATAATCAAATACCTTATTAAAATCTCCACACAACTAACAACAATCATAACCAACAAGACATAAATAATCATTTTAGTTATCCTGTTCATATTTGTCTCTGCTATGGAATCACTTATAACGTCAAAGAAGTCCAAGAAAATTTGACATCTATCGTTTAAAACTTCAACTCTTTGATCAATTTCCAAATAATCTCTAATGGCATTATATAATGGATGTAAGGAAGGTTCAAATGACCAGAAGAATTCAGGTGTGTCCAAAACATTTGATATTAAATTTATTTCATTTCTTAATTGAATTAACCTTGCCGTCTTAGTCAATAATTTTTTTCTTGTCTTGATAGTTTCTAATTTTCCTGTAAGTGCTAACATCTTTGGTAATTTTGAAATTGAACTTAAAATGTGTGACATCCTTGATTCATAATAACATAATTTTGTTGATTGTGCTATTGAGTGAGATATAGTCAACTTGATTAAATGATCTCCAGATTTTAAAGTAATCATATCATTGTAGATTCTAGGAGTTGATATTTCTTTCCTATATTCAAAATGGAATTCTTCAGTTTCTATATCCTGTTCATGAATTGGCTTTCTTAATAAAGAAAGCATTTCTTCCTCGGACCCATCAGCCCCATCATTTTCATTATCATTTTCATTATCTTCTTCCTCATCGTCATCATAATCATCGTCCTCATCAGTTATTTCATGCGGATCCAATTTTGCAAAAGCTAAATCCGCCAATATATTTTTCTCATGAATTTCACTAAAATTCCAAAATACAACGACACCATAGTTGAAAATAAAAAGCTCAGCATGTTTAGTTAAATCAGGTAATTTTTGTGAATTGTTGTCATTATTACCATTGCCATTGCCATTGCCGCTTCCACTGCTATCGCTTTCTCCATTTTCACTACTTTCTATTGAAAGATTACCAACATCATGAATTTCAGAATTTTCCCCATCACCGTTATCTTTATTATTATCTTGTACAATTTGAGAGTCATGTGATGATGATGATGAAGGAGGAGGATGAAATTCATTAGATGGAGAATTATTTGGACTGGGGAAAAACTGTGGCTCACTAGGATCAAAACCTCCATTGTTATTATTATCAAAATCATTACCATTATTATTATTATTATTACCACTATTCATCAAATCAGATTTTCCCAAATCAATTGGTCTATTGGTATTTTGATTAAATTTGGATATATCACTATTTTCATTTAAAACCAAATTATCATTACCACTAGCATCAACTCCGCTAAAATATTCAAAATGATGATCTTTCAATTCCGAATTATCAATAAAATTTTCCATCAATTTTTTGGAATTTAACACTTTTGCAGAATTATTTGATTGAACCCTATACCCATTTGGTCCCGGTAATAAAGGTAATGAATAAGGTACATATAAGACTTCATCGTATAATCTAGGCAATACTAAATGATTTTTTTTAAGAAAATGGGAAGTTAACTTCAAGTTCATACCTTGAGCTATTAAATAAGCCGTTACTCTTGAATATTCATCCGCTCTTTGCTCTTTTGTCATGTTCTCTGCTCTAGAACGCTGATAACTTCTTAACCGCTTAGGATCAATAGCCACTTGAGGTTGAGGCAGAAATTGAGGATGAGGAGGTTCCTCATAATATTGATTCTCATCTTCGTCATAAGGAATTAATACCAATTTTTGGGAAGTCTTCGAAGTTCTAGAGGGTAACGGCTGCGATAATGTAGGTATATTTCTCTTTGTTAATCTCCTTGTACCTGTTTGCATCGAATTAACAATAGACCCATAATTAGGTGGTTCTTGTCTTTTCCTAGCTGATGGTATATCACTAATATCACTTATTATATTCGACACCGATATCTTATTAAGCTTATTAGCACCATCTGTCTTCTTTTGCAGACTGTTATATTTATGACCAGCAAATGGCGCTGAACTTCTCTGTGCAGTATTCAAATTATGTCTAACATCAGTTACCAATATCGAAGGTGATCTCTTGGCAGTAGGTCTCTTATTTTGCTTTTTCTGCCGCAGTATGATATCATTCTGTAGCTGTTTCTTACTCTCCGAGTTTGAAGAGGACATTCTTAACCAGAATATTCAAAAAAAACAGAACCCGCTCACTGCTTTTATATAATCAATGAAGAAGAACAAGACAAGAGAAAACTCAATGTTTTGCTAACAAAAAAAAAGAAAGAAAGAAAAATACTTCATTTAGAAAAGTAGTGCACAAATACAAAAAAATATCATCATCAACCCAACAAAGCAGCAAAAAGAGAGAGAGAAAGAAAGAAAAAATAAAAAAAAAAAAAAAGGTTGTTAAAAGTGGACATTAATAATTAGTGATTAGTTTTAATTCAATTGGCGGTTAGGATAATATGTCTGATATTGATGAGGATTTGTTGGCTTTGGCAGGTGCTGGATCTGCCGATGAAGTGGATGATGTTGAAGAAGAGGAATCTGATTTTTATGAGCCTTCATTAGATGATTCTAAAAAACGTAAGGCGCCTTCGTTATCGACAAAGAATAAAAAAACTAGAAAAGCTTTTTTAGATCAGGATGATGATGAAGACGAGGAGAATTATGAGGATGATGTAAGGCGTGATGCAAATGAGAATCCGTATCCTTTGGAGGGAAAATATAAAAATGAAAAGGATAAGGATGAATTATTAGCGATGGATGAAATGCAAAGAGAACAAATTTTATTCGAGAGAGGTCAAGAGATGGAAAGATATAATGAGAGTAAATATTTGGCGCTTAGAGCTGAGAGAGATAAGATTGCAGAGCAAGGTAGATTGAGATCTAAGCGGAAGGGTAAAGATAGTACTAAGGCTGATAAGAGGGAACAGTTGAAGGCTCAAAGAAGAAAGATTGAAACTAGACGTCGTGGAGGCGATTATGAAGATGATGAAGAAGAAGATGTAGAAGAAGAAGATGAAGAAGATGAGGAGGCAGATTATGGTGATGAAGACGATTTTGTTGAAGATGATGAAGAAAGAGTGGAATGGGCCACGAAATCCTCTTCATCTATACAAGATAAAGAAGCTACATTATCAGATATAAATAAAATTAGAATTGGTAGGACTCAATTTAACAAATTTTGTTATTACCCAGAGTTTACCGATGTTGTTGTTGATTGTTATGCTAGAATGAATGTTGGTTTCAACCGTACCACGGGGCAAAATGAATATAGAATGGTTAAAATTAATGATGTTGTTGAGATGAAAGATAAAGTTTATTTATTAACTAATCATAAGACAAACTTATATTTAATTGTTTCAATTGGTAAAAATACTAGAAAAGTTCCTTTAAATATTTTTTCAGATAATCATATAACAAAATATGAATTTGATATATATATGAAAAGAATTCAACAAGATGGATTAAAATTTGCCACCATCAAAACTGTTGACAGGAAATATCATGAATTAAGAGATATGAGTACTAGATCGTTAACGGATAAGGAAATTAACGAGATGATTGTCAAGAAACAAACTATCCAACAAGATGTGGCTGGCGTCAATGCCATTATGAGAAAGACAAATTTACAACTGGAAAGACTGATTGCTCTTGAAAATGGAGATTTAGTAAAAGTTGAAAAAATTGAACAAGAAATTAATGATTTAGAACAGAAATATGCTGCAAAGCAAAGAACTGTAGAATCTTCTTCAGATTCAATCTTATCAAAAGTTAATGAAAAAAATAAAAAATTGAATCAAGAATTAATTAGAGAAGCTGAATTAAGAGCTGTGGAAGAAAAATTGAAAAATAATAATACAAGTAGCGATCCATTTAGTAGATTGAAGACAAACACAAGAATCTTTTACGCTGCAGATGGTTCATCAAATATAATCAATAACGATGCAGGTGAATTGACAATAGAAAAATTGGAAAATGAATCTGCTGAAAAACAAAAATTGGAAAAACAACGTCTCACTGCCAGATTTAGAGACTTCAATGGTGGATTTGATAGCCGCATCAAATCGTTAAAATTCAAGTTTGATGTCGATATTAAAATCTAACATACATCTTACATATATGTAGATAGCAGATATAGCAATATTACATTAGTACTTCTTCTTAACTTAATTAGTTTGTCTTTGTCTTTATCTTTATCTTTATCTTTGACTTTGTACGCGCGCGTCGTTGCAAATTTCAAAAACACGTTTTTTCCAGTGAACGACTCTTTTTTTTAATATATGAAATTTCATGTTATCCATAAACTGCAGTTTCTAAAATATAGCTAACAGTTTATCTTTTAAGTCTTTTTTTTTTTTTATTTTATTTTTTTTTTTATTCTTCTGAAACTCTTATCTTTGGACTATAAATATATAATCTTATTTATTTCACTAAAAATAAGTTTAATAAGTTTCATTTAGTTAAAGGGGAAGAAAAGAAAAAAAGATCAAATAAATAAATTTATCTTTTTTCTTTTTTGTTTTTTCCATCTTTTTTTTGCTTTTTCTATTTTTTTTTTTTTTTCTTTTTTTTTGATCTTGTTCCTTTTTTCTTATTGAAAAGTTGACATTGACGTTGCAATCATTACTGGCTAAGATGATACATATAGGAAGGAAAAGAATTGTTCGGTATTTGGTGATTTTGATATTATTTGTTCAAATATTGGTACTTTACCATAATTCTCACCATATTAAAAATGTTAGTGAAAAATATTTTCCAAGTGTTTTTAATAATTTAAAATATCCATTTTTAACATCTACTGGTGAATTAAATTTGGCTTTTTTCA